TTTTAGTTTTAAGTGGTTTAAAAGGTGTTTTTAATTTTTAAACCTATATTATTTTCTCCTTTGCTTAATGTTCTTTAAGTTCATATTTTAGTAATTTTAAACCATACTTCTATTAATCACAGTAGTTTTCACTTTCTAAGGATGCGTTTGAGTAAATTTTTATTCAAATGACAGCATGGATCGTTGATGCTTTAAGCTGCATACTAGGGGCATTTTGGATAGTACCTGCTTTAGCTGCATGATTTTATAGTCGATGTACGATTCGTCCATTTTCAAAGTGTGGTATAGGAATAGTGGGTAACCTCACAATAACAAATTTGGTTGACATTAGTTCGATAGTTTCTAGATATGGATTTCACCTAAGGGTTGGCGGTGCACGCCCATTTAAAATTTTTGCGTCGTATTAAACCAGCGAAACACCGTATAATACATTGTCCAAATCGTATATTGCTAGCCGAGTTAAAGAACTTGAACTGATTGTGATATAATCATTGATTGTTTGAGACAAATCTACTTATGTACCGAGCGGAAAACTTTCACGTCCAAGCGACCATCCAGACAAAGGCCAAACCAGCTTTAAGTGGACAAGTGGATATAAGAGCGTACGTTATTTTAGTTCTTTCAACATGGCATCAGAATCGACGGCGTCCCAGACGTCCACCAATTCATGCTTCATGTGCTCGAAATCGGCCACACACGCCAAAACTGTCCTCGTTTCGCTACACGAAACAACCGAATATTGCAGCCTGTAGAGGAGATGATGCAAATCCTGAAGTCCGTCAACAGGCAGAACAATTTTCTTCAAATAATTTGGTGAGTGTTGCCTCCTCAATAAAAAGTGCACTTATATTGTATAATTCCTCTTTTTGCTGATTACTGCGGTCCCATTAGTTTCATAAAACGGTCTTACGTGTCATAATCAGTAAAACTCAGCAGGTAAACAAAGTGACACAATATCGTGGAATCGGTAATAAACAATTAAAATTTATGGTATTTTCACATGTAAATTATATTTTGTCAGCACAAATTGCTCCACAATTTTCTATTTTGCCAGACTCAGATGCGGTTTATTGTACCAGTGCTGGTTGGGCGTGACCTTTTAAACAAATGCAAATAGCATTGGGCAAACAAGACAGAGGTTTTAACCCATGAGGTTATTTAACATAAGAGCTCAAAATAAGTTTTGTTCGTGCACTTCGCTTTCTTGATTTATATAGAAGCCCACTAGCTAGTTGCCAGTCTGCTACCACTGTACAATATATATGCACAATTAAACGAGAAGGGCCGAAAGTTAATGTTTACTCAATGAAAATTAAATCCGTGTCACTAGTTCGAGAAGCTCTCGTTTATGGCGAAGTTGGAATTCAAGAACAATCGATGAGCTATTGGCTCAGGAACCCTAACACACAGGAACACAGGTTGAGATCCAACTTTACAACGCTCTGCTTGTCTCCTCGACGATAAACACACTACTTTACTCGCGGTCAATTGAATCACCAACACATCGTCCGAATGGTCAGAGGAAAACTTTAACTTTAAGAGCTTCAGCGGAGTCATCTGAACAGAGAATCTGATTTCATCTCTCACACCATGACTCAAACGCGTTGATTTGAACTTTTAATTCCCAAATTATCAATAATTTTGATAACGTTCTTCGAGAAAAGTACGTGTGGGCTCTCACAGTCAGCTTCTCCTAGCCTACAAGGAATGCTGAAAGAATCAAGATTGATAAATACAAGATTTCCCGTTACTTTTTCGGAAATTTTTAAGAAATGAAATTAAGTGAATGGTTAAAGGGATTCTGAATGCGAAAGTTGTATTTGTTTAATTTATAAGTACAAAATATATTGATTTTGAAAAGAAGTGTATACAAAACGAGTTGTGTTAGTTAGACTATTAATAACACTAGAACGGTTTAACCGATTTGGCTGAGGAGATAGCTTAGAACTTAAAAATAATAAGTAAGCACTGCAAGGTACAGTAATTTTTGTATATACATAAATATAGGGGTTATAGTGGATGTTGCTACTGAAAAGGCTGTTTTTAGGACGCGCCATGTGGAACCGATTGAAATCATGGATCGACAAGGCGTTGCGGCTACTTTGCTAAATTATCGACGAATGACGCAGAGGCACTCAAAATAACCAAACGCAACTTCTAATATAAAAATAGCGGAATAGAGCAGTGTGATAAAAGTTCATTATAATTTAAGATGAGAGCATAACCAATACAAATATTCTCTAAGCATTGCACAGAACAATGCACGATTTAAACGGCAACGATGAAGTTTTCAGTGGTGCTGTCTTATGTCATGGATAATTGAAACGACTAATGGACCATAAATGTGTGCAAAACGCAATTACAAACTGATCTCTATCTAGATACTAAGTACTTATACAAATAATAATGATGCGTTAATAATATAATCAAAAATTATCGTATATAGCAGATGCATTTAAATAACTACTGTTATGATGAATTGAACATATATTTAGAATCTCGGAATTTCATCACATAATCTTAGGTTAAAAATTGGTTCACCTATTATTATTCAGCGTAATTTGAATCCATCTTAATTATGTAACGGTACACGTTTGGTAATCAAAAATATTACAGGAAATATTACTGTAGCAACCATTTTGACTTGAAAATTTAATGGAGAAATGGTCTTTTTGCCACGTTTTCCAATGATACTGCCAGATGTACAATGCAATACAAAAGAGCTAAATCAATTTGAATTTGAAAATGTTTATAAAGAAAAACTATGAATATTATTGTTAAAAATTAAGAATGATCTACCTTCTTCCATTACTCAAATCTTATCAACTAACAACTTTGAAAATTACTCATTAGTTACCAACTTGAATATAAAGTTTGTAAAAATCAACATTATATTTAATATTTCTTTGAGCTTAATAACAAATCGATGAAAAGTAGTATCAATAATTTTCTAATTTGGAAGTAATCCGCGGGGTTATTCTTACACCGGCAATAACGTTTTCGTTTTTATTCATAAATACAATTTTATTGTATTGAATAGTTTATAAATAATGTACGAGATCCTCTAGTAACCCATTAAAAATGAGTTTTTTAAATGTTCCTTCGGATATAAAAGGTGTCAAAAAATTTTTGTGGGAGAAGTGAATTCGATAACCATAATAATTGTCAATAGATGAATGCGTTTAGTTGAATATAATCCAAATTTTTTTACGCAACATTATTCTATTCATTTCACTTAAACTTTTTCATTATAAACTAATAAAATAAGGCCCACTTTCTCAATACACCAGCTTTGATTGACAGAACCGTTTTCGCCAAGTTGTGGTTAGCTTACCTACAAATAGTTTGATTATTGTGAACAAACTTGCATTGTGAACACGCATAACTGTATATCTACATGTTTAGAAGAGGACTCTTTTTGCTGTCAAAACCGGTTTTCGTAAGCGAGGGGACGAGGAGGAAAAACGAAGAAACGCTATGTGATCTATTTCGTAACAGCTCGTTGCTATGCAATTCGTCGTATTCTTTTCATTTTAAAATGCTTTGCATGGTTGCAACAGAGCTCGGTTTCAAAGGAATATTTACATAATTTTCGGAAATATTAAGGTTATTACCTCTTTTTTGTATGAAATATGCATATATGAATGCAAATATGCATATAGGCATTTCTAAACTGTCTTATGTTTTATGTCGTATTTCAAGAATCTTAAAATACGACACATGTAGCACCCTTATATTGTTGTATGTCATATTGTGTAATATTAATACACTTCACCAGCTAGTAGTAAAAATTAAGAATACAAAATGCCCGAAAAGTGACAAAATAAATTTCTTTATGTTGAAATGGCGGCGTTTTGGTTTTTACTTTCTTTAACTTAATTTACTGAATATCATGGTTTCTTCCATATTATTAAAGAAATTTGAAATTTAATTAATTTATTAATTTTAGGCACTTAAACGTCAACAATAAAAAGTAAACATATACAGCTGAAGAATAGTACACTCAAAACATACCTCGTCATGTTGTATTTGTCGTATTTCAATTTTGCATGGGAAACAACAACAGTGTTGATATGACAGTCATAAAAATAAACAATATGGCGATATGACACAATATGACACCTTGTGAATACTCAAATAACATATAATGAGAATGAACGACAAAGTCCGCGTCCGAAAGCCATTTATGCTGCTGATTTTTACTTAGAGTCAGCGACAGGTGTCATTTAATTTTCTGGTTAGAAACTAACCAAGGCTCCGTTTATTCGGAACGTTACAGAACTTAACTGACAGAATGTTGCTAACCAGATATTGAGAAACCATTTTCAACATGTTGCCGATAAAGTTTTGGTTAGGTCCCTAACGACCCTTAAATGCCAAATGAGCTGTTCTACCTCCATTTAATAAAGCTGCTGCGATGCCAGATGATGCAACGGCCATTGGGATGCCAATTTGATGGTACCTCAGCAAGGATTATCGAAATAAGGAATGCTTTGCTAGTTCCAACTACCAGAAATATGCGGTCGAAATTTGTTTTGGTTTGATTGCTAAATTCTGCTTATAACTTAGTCTTTACACGGCAACACTATAATTAGAACTGTGTATCTGCACAATCCAGCATCCCTTATATAGTAAATCTTTAACTACATCGCTAACTAGTTGCTTCTGACAATTTATCGTCGATTCGATTTTGTTCTATCATCCGTGGTCGTCACACTGCCTCCACCTATTAGAAATAACTTCTTCAGCCGTCCTTCTCTTGGAGTTAATTCTATCTGTTTTCCGGAGACCTAGTTTCTGATACATTTCTTAAAGCTGACTCGAGATTTCATTCTTGATCAGAATTTAACTCCATTGGAAACCGAATCTCTAACCCACTTGCCATGTAATCAAAGCTGTTTACTGATGGTAGTAACACAATTTTCTATTATTTAGAATGGAATTATCAGGAAGTCTGAAAACTCCCGTTTGTATGAGCTACATAAAAGGTTATAAAAATGGCCGCTTTCCAGTTTACCTCGTTAAATCTGCAAATGGCACAAGATTATTTTAATAATTTAAATCCATTAGCTCAGCGTATTGCATCTGATATAACCACTACAAAATCATCATATGGCACGCTCTGGTATACTTTGAAAGCAACTCAACAAAATGAGATCATTAACGAAACTCTAATAACACCGGAAATTTCTTTGAAGTACTTGGAAAATATGTCTCTGTCTGCTTCATCGTTATCATCAAATTCATCTTCGTCTATCTCATCTTGTGCTAGTTTAAGTACAACAAGTGTCAAACATATTTTGCCGTCGTCTTCAAAGAGCAGAGGACAAAATTATTCGCCCAGTGTCAATAATAGTAAATAATAGTATATATAATCGAATTCGTTAACTGATAATATTAATTTGCAGACTCAAAATTTATTGTCCAACACTTTGGTTGCACGCGCTAAACACACAATACAATCACATCAACTTGGAAAATTAAAACCTCCATCGTCTCCACCGCCACTTCCTCCAACTACAACCAAAAAATTGACGAAAACCGAAAATGCTAAAAAAACAAATTGAAAACAAATCAAGTAAAGGCTACCAATGAGAAAATGAATTATATTTATGATGGAATCAACCTCCATACATATACCGCTCAGAAAGTGGCTCTAAAAATTATTTATGATGATGTATTAGGGGCATACCGCGATGAACATTCGCAACCTTTCAGTTATCGCACAAAATCACAGATTGATCTACAGAAGCAGTATTATGAAGCTGATTTGGATGACATAAATCTGAACACTAATTTTGATTATAAATGCCCTACTTCAAACGAGCCGAGAAATGGAAATTTGGCTGAAAATGTAGCTCTAACTAAAAACTCTGAACGCTTACAAAAGGAGTTAAAGAGCACCTTTAATAATCATTTGGAGATTTCTAGAAAAAATAAACGACTAATACCTATATCGCCAGAAGTATTCAAGATTCCACCTGCTAAGGCAACTCAAGCGCTTTCTTCACGAAATTTTAATAAGTGTAAAAATAAATCGAGCAAATATTTGTTGAAAGAAAATGTTGAAAAGCATACATCCGAAGACTCATTTTTACTCGACTTCAAACCCAAACAATCAAATTTGAATTATGCCGTATATACAGATGTCTACTTTGAACAATATGGTCGCCTGGATGCAGTGGCACGCAGAAGAAGAAGCTTCAGACCTGTCAGTACGCTGCACTCCGGACTATCACGGGATGCCTCTTGATGTCTCCAATCGAACACCTAAATAGTGAGGCCCTTATGCTTCCGGTTAAGGAACACAACGAACTCCTCTCCAAACAGTTTCTGCTAGGGTGCTTTCGTAGAAACCACTCCTAGTCGCTCTTGTAGCGGAGCCGCCTCCTAGGAACATCAGAGGTCTTTCTTGATTACGTCGAGACATCAGACAGTACGCCGACCGGACTTCGGACGCTATGAACCTAAGAGCACTGACCACCATTCACAGTGGAGCCTTAACACCTTCATCGACTCCCTCTCAGTAGATGGCGTACTATGAGTCAAACCACCAACCTATAGCAGACGTAGAGCTCGAGTTGTCTCACGACCTCACGTTAATACAGTCTACTACCAGCCCATACCATGTCCGCGCGCAATGATTCTCCGCATGACACTAACCACCTCTTTGCATGCCCAACAAACCCCACTCATCTAACACCCTTCTCCCTATGGTCCGACCGGTCGAAACAGCTCGTTCCGCCTCCCGTTAGATGACCTCGACGACAACGAATCTGGAATTAATCACCCAAACGGGACCGTTACAACAATAACATATGTCAGTACTGTTAATTTACATTTGAAGTTTTACATTCAGAACTATCCACTGATTGGAGAAAGACGTAAGCAGAGCTATGAGAGGAGAGATGAGATCAGATGACCGTCACTTTTCTTGGGTACATAACAAATGTAAACAAATAGATGTGTGAACTGCAATGAAAACTCATCGAAAACACACAATGTCGGTCAGAACGACTTTGGTTCCACAATCCACAAATTTGTTTTCAAGAGGATTTCAATTCGTTGCGAACATAGTATTAGGACTGGTTACTTGTAAATTTATACAATGGTCGATTTGCTGGCTCTAATGTTAATCGATACTTATCGAAAAATGCAATCTCAACCGGCAAGCATTTAAATAAAGGAAAGGTTAAGGCTAAATTAGATTATTCGATACACAACTATAGAACAGTAAAAGCAATATACAAAAGAACCTTTCATATAGAAAGAAGTAACGTTTCAAATTTTATTTAGATGTTTTTATTGTGGATGTTCTAACACATTAATTTCAAATCTAAATAAGAATAAATAATGGTAGGCCGTAAGATTTCTGACTATAAACCAAAAAGTCTACAGCAATATTGGCTGGGATTTAGAATAGCAACCCCGAATGAGTTTAAGCTCTAAGTTAATAGGTAAAGATAGAGGAGGTTCTCCAACTTAGGGATATTTATACACATAGCTGTCTTGACTTATGGTTTGTGAATCATTTGTATTTAAATTACCAATTTATAGTATGCAATTTTTCGATTTACGAGAATTTTACGCTTATGTTGTTTTATATTGTATATACACCACTAACAAAAATGTGCGTTTGTGGACAATTCTGAAATAGCATTTATTAGTTTTGCAATTTTTGGGCTTCAAACACAAATCTTTAAATCAGGGTGGGATAATATTGTATATATTCTTGATCTTATTCGTCCATACCATCAAATCTCTGCTCGGAGAAACCGAAATTTTGCCTAGTCAGCGGCAATATATATATACGCCCATATATTCTCAATCTGGAAACCTGTATCCGTAGGAAATAGGAGAGGTAAATTTATTTATGCAATATTTATTATAAAAATAAATAAAAACGATTTAGTGAAATGTTAGTGGATTAAAGTTAAAATTTAGTAGAAAATCAATATAAAACGAAGAAACGGGAGTCTTTAAACCTTTAAGTAAATAGCTCAAAGCGTAAGTCAACGGCAACTATGTATTTATATATATTCTAAGTCTGGAGGAGAACTGTACCAGGTCGACTTTAGTTAAGCATCCACGATTCAGGGTTAGGAGGAGTATGGATTTGGATAGAGGAGATTCTCCAGAGCACGAATATATATATAATTAATACCGCCAATCAATACCATAATTTATCAATAGAGGAATGAACAAATTATAGTTCATGTATTTGGGGTTAATCCTCTTATTGTTCATAATTCGTTTCAAATATAAATATATATATATAATAGATATATGGCAACCTTGTTAGATAATGTCAACATGGAACCCATTGTTATTATTGTTCATATAACGAAGTATTAATAAAAATAACAACATGCTTTTAAAACAAATATTTAAATATTTAATATAAAATAAATATGTAAAACATTGTAGTGAAGTGTTAATTATAATAAGGGCATAATATAAAGAAAAGTTAACCATAAATCGAAATTGGCAAAATAAAGTTTATAGTTTAGGTCCCCCAACTAAGGAGCCTCAAACTGAAATTTTTAAATCGTCTTATTTAGACGCGAATATTACAAATCCGTGAGCGGGCAGTGAATTTTTCAAAAACAAACCAAGAAAAGCTTTTTAATGTTTTAATACATGCATTGAAATTAAAAATTGTGATACATTAAATTAATTATTATTTTTCCGCTGCTAGTGAAAGAGTTTGTGGTGCAGAGCTATAAACACCCCGGTGTTGGACCGACCAGGGTAATTTTCACAAGAAGAAAATGTTTAACGCACTGAACTGGTAATTACAACTAATTCATCTGAATTCAAAGAACTGCCGCTAACAAGAACAACAACTAAGTGACTTGAAAATATGTAAGTGCGTTAAATATGTTATAAATATACAAATAGCCAATAAAGTCTGCGTTCACCCGACACTATTTTAAGTGAAGTAAAACAATGTAAATAGGTATTTCAGTTCAAATTTGTACATGTATTTCTTCTTTATATTCTTAAGTTCAAAATGCAAAACAAAATTTTATATTCCTTTTCATTTTGAGATAACAGGATTTTAGTGTAATAACAAGTAAATATAGGCACCAGAAAGTCTGCGTCAGTTAGCTTAGTTAAATACCGTTACTTCTCCTTAATTCATTCCTTCATTTGCGTAGATTCTATTGTGTTTGTGGCTTTGCCACAAATTCAAGAATCAGAGAACAAGTTCAGGCATCCATCTCAGTGCCCGCATGTGACACAAAGAAATATTTTATGGAGGTTATGAAGAATGGCCGTCCTTCAGGTTTATGTTCACTGCCGTATATCAACCATCAAAATTATCAAAAGCACAAGAATTATCACCTGCGATACAAAACAAAGGTCAAGCTGGCGTCATAGTTAAACAGTAGTTCGCACTAAATGACGACAATTTCAGTGGCTTAGGAAGCTCTAAAAGCAAGATATGAAAATGAAAGAATATTGGTCGATAGAACAAGTAACGACTTATAGTAACTTGCCTAAAATTCAAAGAAACAAGTGAAAATTTATTAGACTACAATCCACTGTTTCTAATTGTTTGTCGGTTTTATCGACACAAATATTCCCATAAACAGCTGGGACCCTATATTGGTAAACATATGCACCGTCACATTACCAGAAAAATCGTTACTTTGTGGGAGCAATCGCTCTCATCTCGAAAAATGTAACGTGGCAACAGATGAAAGACTTTCAAAATTGAATATTATCGACAGAAACAATTTTATAAAAACAAAGACTTTATTGCAAATTGCCTATCACGTATTGCATACACTTAAAGAATTGCAATAAATTTAATTATTGTCATAAACAGCATCGTCATTCTCTTCATTATAACAATTTTCAGATCACCCAAACAGCGCAAATATGAAAGAGCCACTGGTTTAGTTGCAGCAGCTTAGCGAATCCCGAAAAGTGCCAAGAGCACCATACCTGCTCAAAGGCAATAAAAACCCAAACGCTACACAGCGAAAATCAAAGTAGAGTATACCGTAAAACAATCAATTTTAAAATTACGGGAATGGGCGGAAGAGTAGTCAAAACTCAAATAACATCTTGCAGTACCTAATTTCCCCAAACAGATAAGCAGGTGTAGCATAGCTATAGTTCTCCCGCAACTTACTAACATGCTTCCAACTATCACATAAATAGCAAGCATTGGCAAAAGGTTTCACACCTAAAGCTAGCAGATCCCGACTGCAACGCCCCGCTCAAATAGATATTCTAATAGGCAGCGATCTCATAGCACAGATAATACTCGAAGGTATTGAAAATTTCAAATACACTATTGGCACAAAAACACTATATTTGGTTGGATTCTAAGTGGACTAGTTCTGAACCAGTTTCCACATCAGAACTCAAGTTGACGAAAATTCAAGAGAACCTTAATTCACAATCAAGAAATTTCGGGGTTAGAAAATGCCACCTCATATCAATTACAACCCCAGAATCAGTATTAAGACTTCTACAAAGCCACAATATTCGATCAAATAATGGCCAGTACGTCATACGATACCACTAAATTCTAATGTTCCACACTGCACAATTGGCAGAAAAACAAAGCCAGAGTCCCTTCTGACAAGATCAGTTTAAAAACACAAATAATAATGTGACTTTTCGACCCCGCAGGATAGCTCTTGTAATAATGATACAAAATCCTACTTGCCAAATTAATGCATACGCACTTTAATATATATCAAAATTGTCCCAAAAGTCGAAATTGACACATAACAAATTGTCCTCTGAGCTGGCTTACTTTTCATATTATAATCATATAAAACAGTTTAAAAATAAAGTTAAGCGATCCCCATACTCCCAATGCGATACAATAACGCACAAGCCTTACAACAAACAAGGTCATCTAATCGCATATATCTAAGCCCTCCTCATTGGTGGTTTATGGGAAATACTTGTAATACTTTAATACAAATCCGCATGAAAAGTAGCCATAAATCATAAATCTTACGCTCGCAATATCCCTCTTCAAAGGTTTCAATGGAGTACCCATTCTGGCCATATCTGAGCTAGGCGTGGAGTCATAATCTATAAGCCGATAATAAAGTAATAGTAGATAACCAACAATAAAATGAATAAACAAAATTATACCATCTAATAATGCGTCATTAAACTACACCAATCTAATAAATGCAAATAACGTTGCCAGCAACACTAACTTCAAATCGAAACATAATATCCATTTCAAATCAAAATTCCATCCACGTACGGGTAAATATGGATCTACCACTACTGCATTATCGCCTTACGCGCTCTGCTATACTCCAACAGTACGCCGAGATACCTGGAATTATTTACTGCA